CTCGGTTTTTTGGCGGATTTCAAACAACTTTAAGGTGCATACCGCCACCTCCGGAGTCGGCTTGACTCGGTTTGCATTTATAAATGCACACGGCATCTATTGCACGTCTGTCCGTTCTGGGAGAGGGATCCCTCCTCTGTTGCTCTCCCTGAGGTTTCTCCCATTTCCCCTTTAAACTGTGGGTTTTTCTCTGGAAGTTTTTCCTTGTATGATGTGAAACGTAAGGACAGAGGGTGTCGTATTGTCATACTGATATTCTGTACAAACTGTGAAGTCCACTGAGACAAATGTAACATTTGTGATATTGGGCTATATAAATAAACATTGATTGATTGATTGATAAAGAATGGACAAATGTGTTTAATCATTTTGCATGCTAAGTAGCCATGTGCTTTCTGGGGCTCAATCTTTATCGGTAAACCGATTTAACCTGTAAAATTCCTTCAAAATAAGAGTCCCGATCTTATTACTATCAAAATAAAAGTGCAAAACGAAAACGTTACCATAGAAAAATATTGGATTACAAATATAATCACTTCTCTAAAAGGTAACTCATTTTAAATATAGTTAGACATATTATGGGTCATTTACAATAATAATAATAATTTTAATATTAGTAATAAGCTTTATATATTTGTATAGCACCTATTACAAGAATTGTAGCCAAACTGGCTTCACAGCAGTTCAATAGACAGATTAGTATAACATGACAGCATAAAAGCAATGTAGAGGAGCAGTTACATTTCAACACATATATCCACGAAGATTAATACATGAAGACTTGTGACTCAGACTTGACTTGGACTCTTCTTAGGTGACTCGGACTTGGACTCGGACTCGAACACAGGTAATGGTGACTCGGACTCGGACTCGACTCGGACACTCCTTGGGTGACTCGGACTTGGACTCGGACTCGAACACAGGTAATGATGACTCGGACTCGGACTCGACTCGGACACTCCTTGGGTGACTCGGACTTGGACTCGGACTCGACTACGACTCTCCCTTGGTGACTCGGACTTGGACTCGGACTCGAAGGGTGGTGACTCGAGAGTGACTTGGACTCGTGAATTGGTGACTTGACTACAACACTGTGACAACCTATTAGAAAGTATAACAATTGAAATCTACAAGGAAAAAAATAAATATGTCATAATTAGCTGCATATATAGGACGCCAGGGTCAAGTATTGAAATGTTCACAGACTGGATGGAGGGCATGCTTTCTAAAATAAATAACAAAGCTATTTTCATATGTGGAGATTTTAATATTAACCTGCTTAATCCTAACAAGCACCAAACTACTGATGAATTTATCAATACAATGTATAGTCTGAGCCTATTTCCGAAAACAACTAGACCCAGTAGAGGGACATCCCATTGTGCCACCTTAATAGATAATATATTTAACAACGTCATTGAAAACCACACAGTAAGTGTGTTATTAATCAATGATATCAGTGATCACTTGCCAGTGTTCACAGTCTATGATAGCAACTACAGGAAAATAAGCCAGACAAAGAAAAAGGATACAGACGGATCCGATCAGAGGAATCCATCAACGCACTGAAAAATCAATTGCTGGAACAGAATTGGGACAAACTTTACCAAGAAAGAAACATCGATACTGATTGTGAAACCTTTCTAAGGATATTTAGGTCATTATATGACAAAAACTGCCCGATTAAAGGTAGGGTAGGTAAGTTTGAGAAACCGGCTCCAGATACACTTTTTGTTATATTCCATGGAATGCTCTTAACATCCCGATAGCTAAGAATATCTTAAGTGCTTTGACAACAAATCCATAAAAAAATGTCATCTGTGGAAGCCGGAGTACTGTAAAAAGCACGACCAATCATTTTAGCCGGCCCGGCTAAAATAACTGGATGGCCTACCTGCAGGGGCGGACTGGCCGATGGGCCGGTACTGAAGTGGGCCGGTCAGACGATGTGGGCCGGTCGGATAAGTGGATAAGTCACAGTCACTAGCACCCCCCCCCCCCCCCCGTCGACAATTTACTAGCTGTATCTACTTGCGGCACGGAGGTGGGCCGCTCGGATAAGTCACTATCCCCCCCCCCCCGTTGATAATTTACTAGTGATAATTACTTGCGGTACCGAGGTGGGCCGGCGGTACCGAAGTGGGCCGGTCGAGAGTCCCGGGCTGATTTGTAGTCCCAGTCCGCCCCTGCCTACCTGCCTGTCAGCCTTCCATCTGTGCACAAACTTATCTCGTGCCCTCATTGGTCATGTGCACGTTCGTGTGTTGGAGGAGGGGCTCTATAAGGAAGTGGCAGATTTTCTCCAGTTGTGTATTTTCAAATTCTAGCGATCTCGAGCCGGTTTCTCAAACGTACCTACCCTACCTTTAAAGAATACAGCAGAAAACTAAAAATATATTCATTGTCCATGGATCACAAAGGGATTACAAAATGCCTGCAAAAAGAGAAATATACTATATAGGAATTCATTAAACAAAGAATTCAAAGTGCAGAAGATAAATATAAAAAATATAAAAATAACTTGACTAATATTATAAGAACAAGCAAGAAAGACTATTATAAGGAATTAATAGATCAAAACAAAAGCAATATTAAAGAAATATGGGAAATACTTAACAGTATTGTAAGAAATAATTCTAAACAAAAAGGCTATCCTGAGTATTTTACTGATAAGAATAATGAAAAGTATAATATAAATAATGAAGCTAACAACTTCAATCAATTCTTTGTGAATGTTGGACCCGATTTGGCGGGAAAAATCCCGGATCCAGGGACAATTGAGGAACATCAAGACGATGTATTGGAGAGAAATTCCTGCTCTATGTTCATTAAACCAGTAGATGAAAGAGAGATATTAGATATTGTTCAAAAATGTAAAAATAAAAAGTCTACTGATTATAATGACATTGATATGACATTAGTAAAAATGGTCATTGGAGGGATTTCTTAAACCATTAACGTACATCTGTAACCTGTCATTCCAAACCGGTACTTGTCCAAACAAAATGAAAATAGCAAAAGTCATACCTGTATACAAAACTGGGAACAAGCACCACTTCACAAAAAGTAATCACGGACAGTCAATACGGATTCAGATCAAACAGATCAACATCACTGGCAATTATGGAATCAATTGAGGATATCACAGATGCCCTTGAACACAACAAATATGCAGTAGGGATTTTTATGGATATAAAAAAAGCTTTTGACACAATCAACCATGACATCCTACATAAATTAGAAAGGTATGGCATCAGGGGTATAGTTTTAGACTGGATTGAAAGCTATTTAAGCAATAGACAGCAGTATGTGAAGTTGGGAAATGACTGTTCTTCATGTTTGGACATTGCTTCTGGTGTCCCCCAGGGGTCAGTGTTGGGTCCTAAACTGTTTATACTGTACACATCAATGACATCTGTAAAACATCAAATATACTGAGGCTAGTTTTATTTGCTGACGTTACAAATATATTCTGCTCTGGGGAGAACTTAGAACAGCTAGTGGAGAACATAGAAAATGAAATGCACAAATTAAAAAGATGGTTTGACGATGATTAAACTTGAGTAAAACAAAATGAATGTTGTTTGGTAAACATAGAACAAAAATACAAATGCAAATAAAAATAGATGGGGTTAAAATTGAAAGATTCCATGAAATTAAATTTCTTGCGGTAATAATAGATGACACAATAAGTTGGAAATTACATATAAAACATATACAATCAAAGCTCTCAAGAAGCATTTCCATACTAAACAAAGTAAAACAAGTTCTCGATCAGAAATCACTTTGCATTCTCTACTGTTCACTAGTCTTACCATATCTGACTTACTGTGCTGAAATCTGGGGCAATAACTACAAAAGTTCAATACATTCAGTGTCTATTCTACAAAAAAAAGCCATACGAATCATTCACAATACCAAATATCTTGATCAGACTAACGCATTATTCCTGTAGTCAAAATTGTTAAAATGTACAGACCTGGTAGAATTCCAAACGGCACAAATCATGTTTAAGGCAAAAAATAACGTTTTACCAGGAAACATCCAAAAAGTATTCGCTCAACGAGTGGGAGGATATAATTCAAGGAGACCATTTCAATTAAAAATTCATAGGGTCCGTACAACCAGAATGTGTATGTGTGTGTATGTATATGTGTATATATATATGTGTATATGTATATGTCAATCAACAAGTAAAGCAGATTAATAATAATAATAATAATAACAATAATAATGAATAATAATAATTATTATTTATAGATTATAAATAAATAATTTAGGGACAAGGGGGTGAGATGAAATAATAATCAATCAATCAATCAATCAATCACTGCATGACCTACCAGACCTCCCTTTTGCCTTTGCACACCTCTTTGGCCTACTGAAGTCAATGCACATTGATTATCCAATAGGGGGATATCCAGAGTTGTTTCTGTTTCTTTTCATTGTTTGTGCTCAGGTCAAACTTTGATGTATCGTCACACTTAAGCAGCCAATCATTTGAAGATATAACAATTGTGGTATTATCAGTATCTCATTTCACCAGCACCTCTACGTTCTGAAGTGGTTGAGGCCCACTAGAATTATTATTATATTCAGTCATGGAAAAACTTAGTTTGAGCACATAGTTCACTGTCAACAATATTTTTATGTCACAGCATGCGCACACACACACACACACACACACACACACACACACACACACACACACACACACACACACACACACACACACACACACACACACACACACACACACACACACACACACACACACACACACACACACACTTACTTGAGACGAAACTTACAGCTAGTACTTTTACTGGGCTCCACAAGAGGAATGACATTTTAAAGCTAATTTTCATCAGTTTTTTACTTAATTTTATTTTAATATACAACAACAGCCATTCCTTGATTTATAAAGAAACAGTTGTATCAGACTGAAGCGTTAACTATATGTTTATTTAACAAGCATATCTGTGTTGGTTGAAGATAGTAACACCTGGCATTAAAAACACACAAACTTTCATTATTTGCCTGACAGGAATATCATAGTTCAGTAAACAAGAATGAACAATTTGAAAGAATTCAAAACACAGTTGCAGCTACATAATTGTTTTTTTGATTAGTAAAGAAAAGGTTTAATCTCACTGAAGCATTTACTATATAATTATGATTATTCAACAACAGTATCAGTGTTTGTTGGAAGTAGAATATATATATATATGTGGCATTGAAACAAGAATTTCGTTTTTAGCCTCACAGGAAAATCATAGTTCGGTGAACACGAAGGTCCAAGTTGTCTGAAATCTTGTATAAACTTGAAAACCTTAATAAAGTCAACAATAAAAGTGTACAGCTAAACAGGTTATTGAGCGCATGCACATGCAGAGACTGATCTGATCTTCATGTCTAAGGTCTTCAGGCCGAAGTTCAGTCCCTTCCACGATTTCCAGATAACTTGAACGTTTTCATATACGTTGACAAGCCCTTGAGGTGCGTACAGACCGGTGGGGTTGGCAGAAAAGCATGCGTTGTACCAGAATCCACCGAGATTATGCTGAGCGCAGTTCCCCTCCAACCGGTCCTGATCTCTGTCAAACGTTGTGAACTTCATGTTGTTGTGGTATGTCAAACTGTCCCCTAAAAATAAAAATAAAAACAAACAAATAAACTTGAAACCCAGAAACACTTATTTTAATGCCAATGTGTGTCAGTGGGTAATATATTTTATTTTATGTTTTTTAAATGACTAAAAGAACAATAGGTACAGCACATGTATGCCTCTTAAATAGTGGTCGAATGTAACAGGGCACATTTGTATTTAAGTAGAATATTAAGGTACTTCTATTTTATGTAATTTAATAAAAGTTTTCTAATATTACATTTCTCACACGTCCAAATTGCAACACTTTAAGTCCCCCAGAAATACCCACCAAGTGTCATATATATAGGACATATTATGCTATAGTTTTCAGGTTTGTATTTGTATTTTGTGTCTCTTAAGGCCCTGACACACCAGGCCGTATTCGGCCGTCTTGCGTTGTCTGGCGACAACGCGTTCCTTGTCGCCCAAAGTCAATTTGGTGTGTCCCGAACCCTCGGCCGTGACACGCCTTATTTGGCCTTTCACGGTCGACACCCGGCCGATTCAACATGTTGAATCGGCCAAAATACGGCCACAAGCTATCGGGCCAAGAAACCACTCTGATCAGCTGTTCAGCTAGCAAGTGAGAAGCGAAACGGAAGTGAGGGACGTAAACAAACGATTTAAGAAGGCACAGGACAGCAGCTAAATCGGCGTGAGCGTCCCCGGCTGTCCTCTGCTGAGAGCTCCGTGATTTGTTTGGTCAAGTCCGGTTTTTCATCTCATCGGTTTATTTGTCAGTAAAGTTGCAGGATTAGTCTCAAGTACCTCAACATTGTCCTTAAGTACAGTGTCTAAGTAAATGAGATACTGTGTCTACTGCTGTTCATTTACCTATTGTGAGTCGCCTCGGATAAAAGCATCACATGGAAATGTAAATTTAGCAAGAAGTAGCCATTATTACATTACTACATTGCTGACTCAATAAACTACACACCCGCCAGAACACTGCGATCATCAGATGCAGGTCTGTTAACTGTGATTTTATAGTATGTCTGCACTTTATGTGCTCATTTCAACATTCATGTATTTTTATATTCTAAAACATGTTTTCGATGGACGAGAGTAAAAATGGAACGCACACGCTATTTGTTTGTTTATATCAGTCTGTTCTTCTTCTCTGTCTTCCGGTTGTTGCCTATTTTGAATGACGAATACACACTACCGCCGCCTGCTGGTAAGGAGAGTTATTGCCACTCACGCATGCGCAGTTCGTACGTGCTCGGCTGAAGTCTTTGCGGTGTTTTCCAGTGCGACACATGGCCAAGACGCAGGAGAACTCGTCGATGGAACTGTCGGTGTCGGTGTCGGCGAGTTCTCTGGTGACTGCCTGGTGTGTCAGGGCCTTTACGTGACTGTGACATGCTTTAATGTTCAAAAAGCTCTTTATTTTTCTCATACTGCCTGTGCTGCAGCACCTCTTTTCACCCTCTGTCTGAAACCAGAGCCCAGTCTGCTCTGATTGGTTAGCTGGCCGGCTCTGTTGTGATTTTTCAACCGCTTAGAGATACCCCGCCCCTTAGCCTATCGCGTAAGATGTGTTGGAAAGCTAGACAATACAAGCAAGAGAGTTAAGTAGTGATGTCACTATGTTACAGAAGTAAACAAAGGAGTCCAATGGAGGCGTTTAAGAAATAGGGGGAGTGTGGGAGAGAAACTCCCTCTGGAGGGAGCTTTGGGAATTTAGCCCAGACCATTTAAATGCACAAAAAACGATATAACACTACAGGAGAGGGGAACCCCCGCCCCCCAAAAATGTATTAGGGCCTCTTTAAACCTACATTTCTCAAAGTAATATCCACACAGTAATCCTTACCTGCGTTTCCGCCGGTGAATTTGCCCAGGTGAAGCTCATAACCGTGATTCTCAGAATCGATGGAGAAGGAGGAGTACTTGGCGTCCGCCTTCCCCCCCTCCCAGTCCTCCATGTCGACCCGCAGCTCGTTCTCCTTCCTCAGAGTCAGCAGGAGGATGTTTTCCAGGCCTTAGAAAAGGAACAAATCGGGTTCACATAACCTTCTGTACCATTAGTTAACCTCTTTACCCCTCAGATCATATTATTTAAAAAAATAATTATAAAACGGACAAGTCAAATCAAGCAATCTGATTGGTTCTTAGCCGTGATATAATGAGCGTATATCACGGGTAGAATTGTAGTTACTTTTCACAAGTCAGTATCCCTCCGTGTCTGAGAAATCTACAACCGTTACAACTGTTACATTACGTCCGTTACGAAACTAACTAACTAACAAAGCTTAAGATGGAAACATTTAAGGTTAACTTCAACCTCCGGGGTGGCCTTACTATGGAGTAGTGGATTGAGCAGTGCCTATCTCCAGAAAGCACCTAAACGACGACATGCAGAGCTACGTGAAGAGCAGGTAGACCAACTGGAAAAGTACCACCATTCAAAAGCTTTCTGATGCGGTTCTTGAAACAAAGCAGAGAAATTATGACCGTTAGTGGCCACAGGTGCGAAAGCTCTCTCCAGAGCTACTGGAAGCCAAATCTCGGGGACCGGAGAAAGTGGAGCGATATTCTCGCCACGCCAAGCAACAGCCTAGAACAACCTCAACCTATACAAGTAACCACGTTAGCCATGCTACTGATGCTGGACAGTTTTTCAGTGGGTGCACAATAAACGGCAACATACAAATTAATGTAAATAAATAGCCAAATAATCGATCAACGCTCTCTGTCTAATATGTTCGCTAGCTGTTAGTGTTGTTGCATAGCAACTACCTCACACTATGTTTTGTGCAGAAGGCAACGGAGGGACTATTTTATTTTGAACATCATTATTTACTAATAAAAACTATTTAAATTATGTGTTTTTCTTTCATATTGCCACATTTGGTAACCGTTTTATAAAAGCAATAGCTCACTTCAGGCCGTGGTATATGGTCATTATATCATAGTTAAGGGGCGTGGTTCGGCCCGACGCGAAGCGGAGAGTCGACAACTGTCGTGAGCTATTGCTTAAATATACAACTGTCGTGAGCTATTGCTTAAATATACTTCACTGCTTAATGAATTATGAGAAAAAAAGTCAAGCCAAAAAACCACAATGTGTAGTGTAGCAGTGTATTGTTGGTATTTTCTTTGAGATTGAAATGTTGTTCTTCTTTCTTAAGCTAAACATACAGTATCATATATGGAGCAAAGCCTGCAAGTTGAGGCAGTCACAGGGGCCAGTCAGTAACGCTGACCTGGGACCCCCCTGTTACCCCCTTCAAAATAAAAGTTTATAATATTGCCATTTATTGGCTATAAGGCTGGCGCAATAAGCGGAACTAATGTAACTCAGCATTGTAGTCGGACCCCTTAGAGCGGTACACCGCCACTGGCCATGCAGGATAAAAAACCACACTTGTCATCTCCGACCAGAGGCTGTTCCCTTTTTACTTCAAGTAAGATTCAAGCCTAGACATTGAGAGACTAAAAATCACAGAAATAGCAGGATATTGTTGCTGTAATGTGAAAGAAGAGAAAACTTCACCTGGGATGCAGAGACCCGGATGTTCAGTACAGATTGAACTGTTCAGTGCCTTATATTCAGTGTGGCAGCAAATACTGTATATGTAGTTAAATTAAATTGTACTCACCAAGCCAATATTCTCCTGCCAGGTTCCCAAATCCGGCCTTATAGTGACTCCAGGGTCTGTAGAAGTTTTCAGTCCCATCCATCCTCTTGAGAAATACCTGAGAGGAAGAGTAGGAAGAAGAGTGATACACGATAATAGGATACCAACATGTTGTACTCCAATAACTACATCTGGACAACTTTACAAAGTATCTTGACCAGTAAACAGGACTGTTGGTTCCGATGTCAATTATGGAAATGAGAAAGAAAAATCAAGACAAATTATGTGTTGTACTCTTGGAGGCAGCAGAAAAAGCTGGAAGCAGTTAAGACAAGTCATGAGTTTCCAAAGCAGGTTTACAAGGTTTAAAAAAAAAAAAGCACACAGTCGGAAAAAATCTGATATACTGACCGTCCATCTGCCCCCGTCAGTGTTCATGTCACAGAAGACTTGCAGGGGAGTGGTGGGACCCCCGGGGAAGATGGTGTACACCCCACTGGAGCTGGTGTTGTCATGGCAATAGATGTCATTGCAGTCGATGGGCAGAAAATCCTTCGAGCCAGTGGCAGCTGAGGTTAAAAACCCAAGAAGAGCCACGAACAATGTCACCTGGATGCAAAAGAGAGGAGATTTTAAATACCTACAGCACCTTTTGAAGTGATTTCCTGCACAGTTTTTAATGGTAATACATGAGTTTATTCATGGTTATTAATTTGCTCAGAGTAGATCACGTTTGAGACAGCTCCAAGTATTGATGCTAGTATTGATTATCAGCAGAGGACAGAGACATTAAAATATATACATTTGAGTGTTTTCTTACCTGCATCATCTTCATCGTGGAGAGGAAGGTCTACGCTGAGTTGACTCTGTTGTTTGAGGTGACTCTTGTTTGGAAACTAGGCATTTAAACAGACGGTGCATAACATGTTTTTGGAAGTGCGTGACAAGCTTTGTTATTTGATAAGGTTTATGATTATAGTTTGGTGCAAAGCCATATAACTAAAAGAGTTGCGACAGCGGAAGTCCAAAATGCTTGATCGTCACGTGGTTCATGGAGACTCAGATAGTTCCCGGAAGTTCGTGGCGGGCCATTTGAATGCATTAATAACAGGAGATAGAACTGCGATTATTGGTAATTAGTGGTCAATAAAGGTTTTGATTTTCAATATTTATACAACATATCGATATGTGTACGTAGTTACATCAATATGTTTTTTATAAAAAAGTAAAATTCGCTAATATCTGAGGATTAAGATAAGATAAGAAGTACTTTATTGATACAAATTTGGGAAATGTTTGCATTGCAGCAGCAAAAGATAAAGCATTGTACATTAGAGAAGTTAAAAGAAATAAACAATCAACAATGTAAACATCTCAAATAGAAATAAAATAGTATTAAAAAAGTAGAAAATATACATAGATAGTGTGAACAGCTATCTTACCTGCATTGTTAACATATACATGTTAGGCTAACGTTGCCTTGGTTAAAGAGCCTGTTGCTGTTGTTTATTGCTTTGAATTCTTTAAAACAAATATTATCTTCTTAAACTTGTATGGTAGTCAGGAGCATCACTTCCTAATGTTTTTTGATATATTTAGAGGGAGGGGATGGGAAGGAAGGTTTCAAAATTCAGATTAGATTAATTTCTACCATTTATGGGGCGAAGCCTGCGAGCTAGTTCAGGCAGTCAACTCGAGCACCAATCAGACATTAACACGTGGCGCACCTCGTCCCTCTTACAACCAAACACATTCTCCTAAACATGCTACTCTATTTAAGCTGCCAGGTCTTCCTGCCTCTGCCTCGCTATGCTGCTGCTGCTGTGTTCACTTGCTATTGCTATGTTCATGTTCCTGCTGCTGTGTTTCATGTTGCTGCTACTTGCCTGCCCCACCACCACCCCAGCACCACCCCAGCTTCCACCTGTAGGCTCGGGGGATAGTTATCTAATCATCACTCAATGTTCTTTGTAAATCTGTGGAGTGATGAGGCCCGAGCCGAGACGCCAAACTCAAACTATATGCTGCTTATAATAAACATATTAAGAAACACGTGAGTTGTCTGACTGAACTTTAATTCATGGTAGTTTCAGTAATCCCATGGTAATTGAGGACATAAGTAATCTAAATGACTAATGTAATCTTTATGACTTTCAGAAAGGACAGGAGACCGACAGGTGCCTATCAATGATTGTCAACTGACAGCACAATGAGTCAAAGGACTAGCAGCAGCAGCATCAGCATGATGATGATGTTAAATGTGTTGTTTTAGGAACATCCATTGTAAATAAATGGAATTCAATAAACATTGAATAGCATGACATGCAGTTTGTCTGTGCCTTTTCCTCTGTGTTGTCCTGGCATAATAGTCTCCCCCATGGCAGTAGGGCCTGGCTCATTTCGTGCATCTGCAAGCAGTGGCAGGTACTTCCAGCATCTGCGGCAGATGCCACTACTTGCCGAGGCATCTGCCGCAGATGCCACGAAATGCGCTTGCTCTCTCTCCCCCATGGTTTGCTGTGCTGCCTGGGGATGCTCCAATCGCTCAGAGAAAGGAGTACAAATGTAAAGTTTCCCCACTGACACAGAGAGGAGGAAAGAATGGTTGGCTGAAGTCAGCAGGACCAATTTAACTATCACAAAAGACAACAACAGCAACAAAATATGTGAGGTAATCATATTTTTCACAATACGAAGACCACACCATTGGGAAGCTTAATGTCTGTTTAATAAAAATAAGGAACAGGGAGAGGCTTGCAAAACTCTGGGAGTTGAGACTCAGGTGCAGGGTGAGGGTCTCATTGCAGGTCTTCAGGCAGCATTGAATCCCCCTGGGGTTCTTGTGCTGAAAGAGGGAGACAAAGACAGGAGAAAGGATTAGATACATCTATATAGCAACCTATAGGATGGGAAATTGCTGACCTATTTTAAACTTACCTTGTGTTTTCACTCTCACTTACAGTAAGTCCCTCTCCCTTTGCCATCAATCATCTTGGGGTGCTAGTGAATTAATAATTTTTTTTAAGTTTTCCGCACTCTCACTTTCGATTGCGTGATATAGCCCAGCGCAACGCCTTCGTCACACATGTTGCCACTTGTTTGTACCATTTTCAGGCGATTTGTAATCTGTTCTAGAAAAACGATGTGTTTTAGCTACAAGTTTAATATTAATACGGTTTAAATAAACAATGAAATAACAATGGGAACTATCTCAGATGCTACTGTGAACAGACAAGGCCACGCAGACTGAAGGAACAACATCTGTTAAACACCTGAACTGTTGAAACAACATCTGTTAAACACCTGAACTGTTGAAACAACATCCATAACATTCATCTGCTACTTAGAAATTATTTATCTATTTATCTAATATATCATATTCCAATAACTTGAATATAGACTCTTATTGCACTATTTCACTTTTTTAAACAATTTTTGTATTTACTATTTACTATTCACTTGCACTATTTTTCTGTTTATCTGTTTTATTGTGTTGTACTGTTGGAGGAGCCTGTGACCTAAGATTGTCATCGTCATAACTACACTGTAGCTATGTTCGTATGACAAAATAAAAACCTTGAACCTTGAACCTTGAACCTTGAGAAAGGTTGAACAGGGACAGTTGAATCTGATCAGGGCGGGGCAAGTTATCGCAAAGCCGGGAAACACACCAGGAAATAAAATGAATAGATTGGACAAGGGCCCAGAATGTGACAAAAAAGCATTCAGTAGGGCCTATTCTTTATTTGGAAGAAGTTGAAAAAACGTAATAAAACATTTTATAAACAGCATAAAATTCAATAAAAATAAATAAAATATTGGGGAGTTGCACTCAGGATGTGACCTATAGAGATCATGTATTTTCCAGTTATTGTAATAACTGATTATATATTTAAAATTTAAAATAATTTCAACCAACACACCACCAACATCTTCCATAAACTGGAAGAACTGTACGTTTCCCCTTCTCTTCTCCCTCTACTGTACCAAAGCATTATCAATGTGCTCACTGTCACCAACCGGACCAAACTCACACGCATCACCAACACTGCTGCCAGCGTGATTGGACTCCCTATACCCAACCTCACAGTGCTTAACAACAGGGCCATCTCACGCATAGCAACCGCAACAGAACTGGACATCACACACCCACTCAATCAGTTCCTCGCCCCACTGCCACCCGGGCGTAGGTACAGAGCACTGAGATGCAAACGTTTTGGAAAAAGCTTGATTCCTGCAGCCATTGATGCATTAAATAACAGGCCTCACTGAGTTTAACTGCCATGTGTGACGCTATCTGTTGTTGTCCGTGTTATTGTTGTTGTTTATATATTGTATGTATGTTGTGTACATGTACAGTGCTGTGAAAATGAATTTCCCACTTTGGCAATTTGCGATTAATCGCGATTAACTATGGACAATCATGCGATTAATCGCGATTAAATATTTTAATCGACTGACAGCCCTAATATATATATATATATGTGTATATATATCAATCAACAAGTAAAGCAGATTCATAATAGTAATTATAACAATAATAATTAATAATAATGATAATTATTTATAGATTATAAATAAATAATTTAGGGACAAGGGGGTGAGATTAAATAATAATCAATCAATCAATCAATCAATCAATCAATCACTGCATGACCTATCAGACCTCCGTTTTGCCTTTGCACACCTCTTTGGCCTACTGAAGTCAATGCACATTGATTATCCAATAGGGGGATATCAAGAGTTGTTTCTGTTTCTTTTCATTGTTTGTGCTCAGGTCAAACTTTGATGTATCGGCACACTTAAGCAGCCAATCATTTGAAGATATAATGTCATCTTTGCCTTTCAAAAAGACACTTGTGGTATTATCAGTATCTCATTTGACCAGCACCTCTATGTTCTGAAGTGGTTGAGGCCCAGTAGAATTATTATTATATTCAGTCATGGAAAAACTTGTTCACTGTCAACAATATTTGAATATCACACACACACACACACACACACACACACACACACACACACACACACACACACACACACACACACACACACACACACACACACACACACACACACACACACACACACTTAATTTGTGCTGTACTTGAGACGAAACTTACAGCTAGTACTTTTACTGGGCTCCACAAGAGGAATGACATTTTAAAGCTAATTTTCATCAGTTTTTTACTTCATTTTATTTTAATATACAACAACAGCCATTCCTTGATTTATAAAGAAACAGTTGTATCAGACTGAAGCGTTAACTATATGTTTATATAGCAAGCTGTGTTGGTTGAAGATAGTAACAGCTGGCATTAAAAACACACAAACTTTCATTGTTTGCCTGACAGGAACAACAAGATTGAACAATTTGAAAGAATTCAAAACACAGTTGCAGCTACATAATTGTTTTATTGATTCGTAAAGAAAAGGTTTAATCTCACTGAAGCATTTACTATATAATTATGATTATTCAACAACAGTATCAGTGTTTGTTGGAAGTAGAATATATATATGTATGTGGCATTGAAACAAGAATTTCATTTTTAGCCTCACAGGAAAATCATAGTTCGGTGAACACGAAGGTCCAAGTTGTCTGAAATCTTGTATAAACTTGAAAACCTACAATAAAAGTGTACAGCTAAACAGGTTTTTGAGCGCATGCACATGCAGAGACTGATCTGATCTTCATGGATAAGGTCTTCATGCCATAGTTCACGCCCTTCCACGATCTCCAGAAAACGCCTTCATTTGCAGTCACAAGCCCTGGAGGTGCGTACAGACCGGTGGGGTTGGCTTGATGGCATTTGGAGTACCAGAATCCACCGAGATAACGCTGAGCACAGTTTATACTGTGAGTGTCCTGATCTCTGTCAAACGTTGAGAACTTCATGTTGTTGTGGTATGTCAAACTGTCCCCTAGAAATAAAAAGAAAAACCAACAAACTTGAAACCCAGAAACACTTATTTTAATGTGTGTCAGTGGGTAATATATTTAATTTTATGTTTCTATAAATTACATAAAGAACAATAGGTACAGCACATTTATGCCTCTTAAATAGTGGTAGAATGTAACAGGGCACATTTGTATTTAAGTAGAATATTAAGGTATTTATATTTTATGTAATTTAATATTACATTTCTCACACGTCCAAATTGCAACACTTAAGTCCCCAGAAATACCCACCAACCTTTCCTCACGCTATTTTTCATTACATTTTTAACAAATAATATATATAGAGAGGACATATTATGCTCGTTTTCAGGTTCATATTTGTGTTTTGTGTCTCTTATTTGACTGTGACATGCTTTAATGTTCAAAAAGCTCTTTATTTTTCTCATACTGCCTGTGCTGCAGCACCTCTTTTCACCCTCTGTCTGAAACCAGAGCCCAGTCTGCTCAGATTGGTTAGCTGACCGGCTCTGTTGTGATTTGTGAACCGCTTAGAAATACCCCGCCCCTTAGCCTATCGCGTAAGATGCGTTGGAAAGCTAGACAATACAAGCAACAGTGTTACGTAGTGATGTCACTATGTTAAGGAAGTAAACAAAGAAGTCCATTAAGACATGGGTGGAGTGTGGGAGAGAAACTCCCTCTGGAGGGAGCTTTGGGAATATAGCCCAGACCATTTACATGCACACAAAACGATATAACACTAAAGGGCCTCTTTAAACCTACATTTCCCAAAGTAATATCCACACAGTAATCCTTACTTGCGTTTCCGCCAGTGAATTTGCCCAGGTGAAGCTGATAACCGTCAACCTCAGAATCGATGGAGAAGGAGGAGTAATTGGCGTACGCCTTCACCCCCTCCCAGTCCTCCATGTCGACCCGCAGCCCGTTCTCCTTCCTCACAGTCAGCAGGAGGATGTTTTCCAGGCCTTAGAAAAGGAACAAAAAATATGTTTCACATAACCTCCTGTACCATTAGTTAACCTCTTTACCCCTCAGATCATCTTGTTTAAAAGTACACTTCACTGCCCAATGAATTATCAGTAAGAAAGTAAAGCCAAAATGACACAATGTGTAGTGTAGCAGTGTATTGTTGGTGTTTTCTCTGAGATTGGAATGTTTTTCTTCTTCCTTAAGCTAAACATACAGTTTCATATATGGAGCAAAGCCTGCAAGTTGAGGCAGTCACAGGGGCCAGTCAGTAACGCTGACCTGGGACCGCCCTGTTACCCCCTCCAAAATAAAAGTTTATAATATTACCATTTATTGGCTATAAGGCTGGCGCAATAAGCGGAACTAATGTAACTCAGCCTTGTGGTCGGACCCCTTAGAGCGGTAGACCGCTGGATAAAAAACAACACTTGTCATCTCCGACCAGAGGCTGTTCCCTTTTTACTTCAAGTAAGATTCAAGCCTAGACATTGAGAGACTAAAAATCACAGAAACCGCAGGATATTGTTGCTGTAATATGAAAGAAGAGAAAACTTCACCTGGGATGCAGAGACCCGGATGTTCAGTAGAGATTGAACTGTTCAGTGCCTTATATTCAGTGTTGCAGCAAATACTGTTTTTGTAATTTAATTTAATTGTAACTTAGTTACTACAACAAGTACTGTAAAGGACAACAAAATAACTACTGAAACAAAGAACTGTAACTTACAGTTACTGAAATAAATAACTGTACAGAAGCACATAGCAATAACTGTATTTTATGTTTATTTTACGCAATTACTATACTGTCGTATAACCCGTGTTTATTGTATAATATAAATACAAAAATAACTGGCCCCAGCCTGGTCCCCCCCGCCAGTAAAATTGGTCTGGAACCGTCACTGGGCAGTCACACCAGCATTCACCAGTAGGCACCAATAATTTAAATTTTCCTTAATCTCACAGCATATTAAGATGAAAAATGTGTTGAATTTATTAGTTGAACACTCACCGAGCCAATATTCTCCTGCCATGTTCCCAAATCCGGCCTTATAGTGACTCCAGGGCCTGTAGAAGTTTTCAGTCCCATCCATCCTCTGGAGAAATACCTGAGAGGAAGAGTAGGAAGAAGAGTGATACAGGATAATGCAACAAGTCCTCCAACTCATACGACCAAATGGGCCGATTGTTCAAGCCCTTATTGCGACCAAATAGGTTGTTTGTTCAAGCGCTTAATACGACCTATAATTACGTTTTAAAGTTTTCACCCTCTAGTGCTCCCGTTGAATGCAAACGTTACAGATGGTCGTTTATTCACAAATAACCCTCTCTGTAAAATCCTAAATTGTAGGACCATTAAAACGCTTTTTGATTAGATTTCTAGCAAGAAGTGTATATTGTACTTTTAGAATCCACATCCAGTCGATATGTAGGATCTATAGTTTGATAGATATTACGAAGATGATTTGAGGTTTCGACAGGAGAACGTGTATATGCGGTAGCTTCCATGTAAAGTTACGGGTTGAAAACAGTATTTCCGGTCTCGACGTTTTCATAATAAAACCAATGATCAAATGATTTAACAGCGATATCTGCAGTACTCATCCACTAAAAAACATCAGTTTATCCTTGTTAATTATACGACATTAACCTGTTAAGCACTGAGCCTGTTTTTCAGGTCTCAGGCTCGAAAATGACATTCCCAGAACAAATGGCCATATCTTCCCTTCTAAAAGGGTTACATAAATAATCTTTTTTCTCAAAGTAATGATAAACCTGTGAGTTGGATGTAGAAAAGTCAGAATCAATATAGATGTTTTTTATTTTAAAGAAAATTCAGATTGAACATAGTAAAAAACTGTAAATTATAGTGTCCGTCCAAAAATTATTTTTTACTTATAGTGAAAACTACCCTTGGATGATGGTAAGGTAGACTAAAAGCTTTAGGAATCCAAATTACAACATATAATAAGTACCCTGTATCAAGATTGATGCAAAACAAGTGACATTTTACCTTTTTAGAGAGGTTTAGCAAAAAAACTCCACCTCTGAGGTGATTTGGGTGGAAATGAGGGTTTTACCGTTTCTCTGGAACCCATTGGTCGATTTTGTTGATTGACATCTCTTTCTGACCGTTAGAGCCAATAGAATCGAAGGGGAATCTCCCCACTCACACACATGGTAAAACAAAAAGGTGGGGGCTTCGCGCACGCATCAGAGCGAACCTATACTCTAGCTCTGACATCTGGAAACGGAAAAGCAGGTATATTGCTTATGGATTATCATAAATCATTTCAAAGGGACACAGACACATTGGATTAACCTATGGATTAACTTCAGCAGCGTTTTTATCGTTTTAATGCCATTGAAGACCACTTTTGACCAGACTACGACACAGGTAAGCCATGTTAGCGTTTTTAGCTACCTAGCGCCACATGTTTTGATGTCCGTTTTTGTTTATAAAGTCGTGAGTTCGTATCATAGAGTGATAATGTATGTACTCATCGTTTCTGTGTCATCTCACGATGTGAAACGATGTGTTGGATGTGCAGAAAAGATAAATAATAAGGTTTTATGAGTGAATTTCGGTGCAGTAATCTGTTAGCATTTTTCGCTCGTTGCTAATTCAGAGGCTCAGCGTTAGCATTGTGGGGGTTTTTTTAAATTATTTTTTTTAAGTAGTACAACAAAGTAGTACAGTACATGCTGCTGTAACAAAAACATTTCCCAACTTGGGATCAATAAAGTATATCTTATCTTAAGATGATCGATGGCTACTGCCATATTTGCAAAATTTGCCTGTGAACCTTGACAAGTGCATGTTTCAGGCTTATCAATGAACAACAGGAGGGGTCACAGACATAAGACCAGCTGTTACATACATGTAAAGCTCTTCTGACCTTAGCTGTCATGTGTGTATGTTCACCCATTTATTAATTATATGTTTTAAATTTGAAAACACACCACTGTGTTTCGTATCCCCTAAACCTCCAGGGTGTACACAGTTTAATACTGGCAACTTCTAATTGTGGGAAATACGAAAACGTCTTATAAAACTACAATTCCCAGTAGAGACGTGCCATAGAACATGTTGCGAAACACACAATAGCCATCATGTGTAGTTCTGGGGGGGGGGGAGGGCTGGGCTGGACCCGTCCGAGTCCAGTTTTGGATAGTCTGTCGTGGTTCCATTCCATTTCAAAGAGCTGTTGACGCTCGGCGTAACCTTGTCGCACTGCCACTCCAACATCCAATCACAGGGCTTGAGGACTAATCACGGGGTTTGTAAAGCAAGGCGGATGTTGTAGTCCCAAACGATAGCTGGGGATTCTGGGTAGTGTAGTGTCTTCGGAAACTGTAGTGTCTAAACTCCGAAAAAACTATTTGTTTCTCTGAATCGAAGGTTAAAAAAACAAAAGCATTGTACACAATTTAAACCAATCAATATTGTGTAATTAACAAGGATAAACTGATGTGTTTTAGTGGATGAGTAATGCAGATATCACTGTGTAATCATTTGACAGTGAGGGGAATACATCTGGTTTTATTATGAAAACTTCGAGACCGGAAAAACTGTTTTCACCCCGTGAGGGTTGACGCTAACTTTACATGGAAGCTGCATACACGTTATCCTGGCGAGACCTCAAGTCATCTTCGTAATATCTATCAAACTATAGATCCTACACATCGACTGGACGTGGATTCTAAGAGTACAATATACACTTCTCGCTAGAAATCGAATCAAAAAGCATTTTAATGGCCAAACTATTCCACAATTTAGGATTTTCCAGAGAGGGTTATTTGTGAATAAACGTCCCTCTGGAGCATTTTGCAATCAAGCAATGTTGTTTCTTACACGACAACTAGAGCACCTCTAGTGGTCGTGTAAGAAACAACATACACTTTAAAACGTGTCTCTGGGTCGTAATAAGGGCTTGAACAATATGGTCGTTTTTTGTAGGAGGACAGGCTGGGATAATAGGATACCAACATGTTGTACTACAATAACTACATTTGGAGAACTTCACAAAGTATCTTGACCAGGAAACAGGACTGTTGGTTCCGATGTCAATTATGGAAATGGAAAGAAAAATCAAGACAAATTATTTGTTGTACTCTTGGAGGCAGCAGAAAAAGCTGAAAGCAGTTAAGACATCAGACAAGTCATGAGTTCCCAAAGCAGGTTTACAAGGTCTAAGAAAAGCACACAGTCTGATCAAATCTGATATACTGACCGTCCATCCGCCCCCGTCAGTGTTCATGTCACAGTAGACTTGCAGTGGAGTGGTGGGATCCCCGGGGAAGATGGTGTACACCCCACTCAAGCTGGTGTTGTCATGGCAATAGATTTCATTGCAGTCGAAGGGCAGAAAATCCTTCGAGGCAGTGGCAGCTGAGGCTAAAAACCCCAGAAAAGCCACGAATAATGTCACCTGGATGCAAAAGAGAGGAGATTTTAAATACCTACAGCACCTTTTGAAGTGATTTCCTGCACAGTTTTTAATGGTTATACATTAGTTTATTCATGATTATTAATTTTCTCAGAGTAGATCAAGTTTGAGACAGCTCCAAGTATTGATGCTATTATTGATTATCAGCAGAAGACAGAGACATTTAAATATATATATCTGTGTGTTTTCTTACCTGCAGCATCTTCATTGTGGAGAGGAAGGTCTACGCTGAGTTTACTCTGTTGTTTGAGGTGACTCTTATTTGGAACCTATAGGCATTTAAACAGACTGTGGATCACGTGTTTTTGGATGTGCGTGACAAGCTGTGTTATTTTAAGGTTCATGAATGGTTGGTTGAAGCTTCCACTTCTTTATATACTCAGTCTGAGCTATGATATTCAACCTATTGAAGGGGTTTACCCAGAAAATGAGAGCTATTCTAATGTTTCACAGGTGGGGCCAATTGTAGAGCCTACAGCGTCCTTGTTTGAGGAATAGTTTTCATTTGTGTCAACTTGTAGCTTCCAAAGCACTGGGGTTTTCTGTATATACAACTAATTTCACCTTGAAGGCCAGCTTTCTAAAATGAAATATCAGAACAAAATCCTGACGTTTTGATCCTTTGTAATCCAAACAAATCAGATAAGTTTCAAGTGGGTGAATACTGTTGCAAGTCATTTTATGAACTACAACTAATTACACAAACAAGGAATCTCTATCTGTGGACCCAAGGACCAAAAGCTACAAGTTTAATATTAATACGGTTTAAATACACAATGAAATAACAATGGGAACTATCTGAGACGCGACTGTGAACAGACAAGGCCACACAGACTGAAGGAACAAAGGAGAAAGGTTGAACAGGGACAGGTGAATCTGATCAGGGTGCAAAGCCGGGAAATACACCAGGAAATAAAATGAATAGATTGGACAAGGGCCCAGAATGTGACAAAACAGCATTCAGTAGGGCCTATTCTTTATTTGGAAGAAGTTGAAAAAAACGTAATAAAACATTTTATAAACAGCATAACATTCGATAAAATTCAATAAAATATTGGGGAGTTGCACTCAGGATGTGACCTATTGAGATCATGTATTTTCCAGTTATTGTAATAACTGATAATATATTTAAAATGTAAAATAAACGTAATTTCAACCAACACACCACCAACATCTTCAAAAGGAGCCAACAAAGATTATCAGTCGTCCATGAACTCGAACAACTGTACGTTTCCCCTTCTCTTCTCCCTCTACTGTACCAAAGTATTATCAATATGCTCACTGTCACCAACCGGACCAAACTCACACGCATCACCAACACTGCTGCCAGGGTGATTGGACTCCCTACACCCAACCTCACAGTGCTTAACAACAGGGCCATCTCACGCATAGCAACAACAGAACTGGACTGTTCACACACCCACTCAATCAGTTCCTCGCCCCACTGCCACCCGGGCGTAGGAACAGAGCATTGAGATGCAAACGTTTTGGAAAAAGCTTGATTCCTGCAGCCATTGCTGCATTAAATACAACCTGGGCTGCGTTTCACTTCTCTTATTTTTCATTTCCTCGGTCCTCGGTCTCGGTCTCACCGGAAGTTGATTTGTCTGCGCCATCTTGAGTAGCGTCCCAATGGCCTTATTTTTGCCGGAGGACCGAGGATCGAGGAGCGAGGAGCGATAATGGAGGAGCGATAACCGAGGAACCACCAGACCATCCTCCGGTGAAATCCTCAGATACTCGCTCCGCCCCCTTACTGTGTATCGCTCACTGATTGGACGATGCAGCGCATGCAATGATCTGATGCTTCTTGACATGAGAGCAGTTTCCCAGCGGAGTAAAGAAAACACATGAAACTCACAGGACTCACTCCTCAGTTCATACCAGGGCTGGACTGGCCATCTGGCATACCGGGCATTTTCCCGGTGGGCCGACGTGCCTTTTGGGCCGACACGTCATTTTTTTTTTTTTCTGAAGTCCCGGCCCATAAGACGGGTAGATTGGCCCTCTGTTTAAATGTTTTTAGTCATTGACACTGGGCCGGCCCAATCAAATCTTTAATCACCTCCCCCTTTGGGCCGCTCGGTGTGCATCATTAAATCACGCCCCCAGGAGGTGAGCCGGCCGTTCGAGAAAAAAAAAAGTTTGAGTTAGAAATGGAGAAGGGGAAGGCGAACACGAAGGCCAAGCGAAAAGGGGGAGCAGGTCCATCTTCAGCACCCGTGGCCGATATTGGTGGTGAGGAAGATGATGAGAGGGAGAGAGATCAGCGCGAGTGGGGAGAGGGAGGAGAACTCGCGGTAAGCAGAAGCTAAGAAAATTAGGAAAAGATTATTATTAAGGTTATGATACTCTGTAGTTCTGGAACCCATTAATATCCCCTTGATGAAGCACTAATAAGACAAATATTATAAGAGAAACATTCGTTAACCTACAAGCTAGTAAGCTGGCTTTTTTAGGTTTTCCCTGGCAAGTTAAAATATAGCTTAATGGGACTCTGATACGTTGTCTCATTGAAAGAATGTAATTATTTTGTTAACCACCATTCATGAACAATTACTGTCAGCTGGCAGCTTGTTTTGTTTAGTTTATTTACTTATGTGGTTATAAGGGCAACAGTGGTCTTTTGGGACCTGAAAAAAATGTTTATAGTCAGCTTTTTGTGGTAGTTTTGATTGACAATATATAGAATGAATAATATAGAAATAGATAAAAAATATTGAGGCACACATGTAGTTTTGACAATTAACTGTGTGGTATTGTTATGTCAATGCCTATTTGTATGGACCTCTATCAGGGACCAAAGAGGTCACCTGCATCCTTTTTGACTCTCCCAAAGCCCCCCAACTACACTCACACATGCAAACAGACACACACACACACACACACACACACACACACACACACACACACACACACACACACACACACACTAACTCCTACCCCGAGGAATGGACGCTGGACATAGTGCCCCTCTCCATAACAAGCATTAATTTTAGTTATTTCAGTCTAGTATATAAGTTACTTTGTGTGTACAGTATATATATACAGTATATATATCTTGCTAGTTGTGTACTTTTGTAATTTATGTGGGATTTCTGTCAAATGTTGCTTCAACTCTCTTTGTAAATTTAAATCTGTCTCTTTCAAACCTATTCTCAGGAAAAAAAATAAAGACAGTGGATAGTATTTTTGGTTAAGCCTGTGTTCCTTCAGTTCTGTGTGCTCTATGAGGTTCTGAGAAACCAGCCGCCTAAGACTTGCACTATAGCCCCTTGCGTGCGTCAATCAATCAATCACATTTGATTTATATACAGATGGAGCCTCTTATTTTGGACCCCAGCATACAGCTTCCTGCCGACTGCCAGCCAGTTGCCAGCCAGTTGCCTGCCAAAGACCAGTATTCAGGAATGTTAGGCCCTCCCACTATTCTCCAATTTCAGGGTTTAACCAGGAGATGGCGCTATATATTAAATAACTAAGACTTAGTTTTTCACAATAGAAAATGCAGATATTATATAAAAAACTAAAGTTAAAATCTTGTTTTTAATGCCCCAAGAGCAATAACATCTTGTCACAAGCTTTTTGGAAGAAAAAGACTGACTCAAGAGACCTGTAGTTGACTAATTACAGGCCTCAATAAAGTTCTGCCATTGGTTGTGAAAAACAACGGTGGACATAGTGGAAAGTGAAATTGACATTGTCGAATTTAATAAAAATACAAAATAATGTATCTGTGTACGTGTTTTACTATGTGATCTGCACTTATCAAACATCTAATTAAGGCGAGACACCCCAGGTGAATAGGGTATTTTTAACTTAAAGATATCAGCTAAATATTTCTCCAGTTAATTACTTACAATAAGGCAATTGTTTTTTGTATTACAAGTTTTCTGAAATAGCATGTTTAAATATCCAAATGAACCATTATCTCATGAAATATGCGCATATTTTAACACATTTCAGGAACCGAAATCTGAACTTTGGATAAAGCCAGGATCAAAATTATTGTTTCATTTTGTAGTCATATTAGTATCTAAGGCTTTTACAGAAGGGATTTTGGATATCTCTTTTTATCACTCCATAAATCAGAAAATACTGTCAACAGCCCTAAAATATCAATTTTCACCATGTTTTTAGGTATAAAATGTTATATAATTCAGGCTATGAATTATATATGACCAAACCCTTCTGTAAAAGCCTTCATAATATTGATAGGAATATAACTGGAAGGTTTGGTGTATGTAACTGCTGAGTGATTCTACAATTTAGGGTACATTCCATGTCCATTGATGTCCATTGATGATAATTATAATTATTCTAACTATTTTCTTCAAAAATATCATATTTTGCCTATTATTGGAAAGCATGTTATAATATCACACAAACATTATGTGCATCCTATGCTTTATTTAGCTTGAAATGTGTCATGATGTTCTTAAATTGTCAGTTTTTGCTATGTCCGTTTTTCAGTTGAGGGTGTCTTGGATTCAAAATAATGAATAAAAACCATTAAAGTAAATTTAAAAAATGATTCATTTATTTCAAAAGTCTAAATACTAAAGAATAATAACATATTTTTAATTGATTTCCCCCTTTAAATAATTTAAATATCTTAATATATGAATGTCCGCAAAAGTTCTGTCAACTATGTTACTAACAGAACTTCCCCCTTTAACTCAAAAATTGTTTGTCCCAATACCATGTCACCAGCATCACATGATGCCATGTTCCTCTTTGGCAGACATTTTGAACACACTGTGGTGATTGTCCTCTACATTTTTACAATATTTTATGTATAATAGCACATGGTCAATTAATATACTCATTGACAATCAACAATGTTACGTACATTGTTATGGTTTACAATTGTTTAATGATTTTAATTCAATTATATGTGCAAATGTGATGTTAACCTGTTCAAGAAAATGACATGTGGTCATCCAGGCAAGGCCTACCATTGAAATGATGGGTCAAAATAGGGAAATTGTCAACTAGGTTACCTGTCAACTGAGTTACCCAGTACTGTAATAACTGTAGTAACTTAGTTGACAGGTAACCTAGTTGACAATTTGTACGACATGTAGACGTCATTACACATCATTATCAATGGAATTTTGCACTTCTGCCTTGAAATTAACATAGTGCTGATGGTTAATAATGTGTCCAGTCAACTATGTTATTTGCGTCAAATGTTTGACTTTCATTGTCAACTATGTTGCACCTCATTTTTTCAAATTTAAAATATCTAAAATAGTGCTT